AGGGGTTTTCCACTTTAAACAGAAATACATGCAAAGATAGTTAAGAAATAATACTTTGAAAAAAAAATCAAAAATCGTATTGTTATGCTTTTCTTAGCCCGATTTTAGTGTAAAGCGTTTAAACGCTTTTCATTTTGTGTCATTTTTTTAGATTTGAAAAGTTATTCTGGAAAAACGAAGTGCGCGAATGATCTGAAATTTTGCACAAAGATTAGTGGTCTAAACCTACATCAAATGGTAGATTTATCTGGAAAAATATTTGCAGCCCAATCATGTCAAAAAACCTCAGTGGAGTCCCTTTAATCTTTCAATAAATAATATTGCTTATTCTTAAACCATGTACATGTACATTTGTATTTTTCTTTATCATTTTTTTAAATTATCAATCAATTAAATAATTCTTAAAATCTAATTTGTAGCTTTGAATAATTCCTGGTTATCTTTACTAAACACGTATATCAAAATAAATAAAATGTTTCAAAGTTGATAGTGTCATATTTATACCATAAAAATGTACCTTTTTCTCAATTATTGTACATATTTATTGTTTTTATCTCATATAGATAAATTGAAACATGCTATTGCTGTTGTTGTTAGGTTTTTTTTCGAATTGTATGTTTATGTATAATAATAATCAATAAATTTGAGAGTTGATCTATGTTTATTAATTATTGTAACCAAACTAAGTGACAAACATTCATTTTGGAAAAAAAGCTTATTTATCTGTAAAATATCTGTTCTGTTCGGTAACGATATCAAACATCTAAGAGACCGAACAATAAACGTGTGATACTATTCGGTGGTCACTAGTAAATCCCGGACAAAATAGACCGGGAGACACCGGGAATTACCGATAGCAGTACATCCCTCTATAAATAGATTTTCGGAATGTTTAGGTCATCCACTCATCATTCTATTTTAACATACCATAATAACCCACTGTGTACTACAAAATGATAAATAAAAAAAACCGAAGAGACGGAAAAGGTTATTTCATGCATTGCGAAATTCTCCAGTTCGCTATTCATTGTGCATATCGAGACTTTTTTTTAATCAAGCACCCTCATACCGATCGGAATGATCGGCTTTTATTATGACCGACTATAAGGCTCGAGAAGTTGCTGTCGCCCTTTCACAAAATCTGATTTCATTCCATAAGGGCGCCGCGCTTCGGCGCGGACGCCAAAGACAGATTTCTTTATACGAAAAGGAAATAAAGAAACGCGAAATTACCGAATCTGACTTACTTGTATTATATATTTATGCATGAACAGCATTTTGTTGATATTTTACTGAATGCCCAAAATCTTAGAACATGCTCATGTGAACGGTATGTTAATCCAGTTTAAACTTATTTCTAACAAAACTCAATGGCCTGAACATTTGACTTTTTTATCTAGATACATACAGTAAAGCTAAATGTATACCGGTTTATTAAAGTTTACCGGTTAGAAGTGCAATAACTACCTGGTGTTGTTTTAATTGTTGTTGACGAGGGTTTGTGAGGAGCGCTGGTAAATGAAACCACACCACTTCCTAAACAGTCAGAATTACACAAGTCATCGCTACAACACTTCATGTCACATTTAGTCGTATCTGTAATATAACATATAATGTCACATTTAGTCGTATATAATATTTAACGTCACATCTAGTCGTATCTGTAATATAACATTTAATGTCACATTTAGTCGTATCTATAATAAAACATTTAATGTCACAATTAGTCGTATCTATGATATAACACTTAATGTCACATCTAGTCGTATCTATAATATAACATTTAATGTCACATCTAGTTGCATCTATAATGTAACTTTTAATGTCACATTTAGTCGTATCTATAATATAACATTAATTGTCACACCTAGTCGTATCTAAAATAAAACATTAAATGTCACACCTAGTCGTATCTATAATATAACATTTAATGTCACATCTAGTCGTATCTATAATATAACATTAAATGTCACATTAAGTCGTATCTATAATAAAACATTTAATGTCACATCTAGTCGTATCTACAATATAACATTAAATGTCACATCTAATCGTATCTATAATAAAACAGTAAAAGTCACATCTAGTCGTATCTATAATATAACATTTAATGTCACATCTAGTCGTATGTATAATATAACATTAATGTCACAGTAAGTCGTATCTATAATATAACACTTCATGTCACATATAGTCGTATCTATTATTTAACACTTCATGTCACATATAGTCGTATCTATTATTTAACATTTAATGTCACATCTAGTCGTATCTGTAATATAACACTTTATGTCACATATATTCGTATCTATAATATAACATTTAATGTCACATATAGTCGTATCTATAATATAACACTTTATGTCACATCTAGTCGTATCTATAATATAACACTTCATGTCACATCTAGTCGTATCTATAATATAAAATTTAATGTCACATCTAGTCGTATCTATAATATAACATTTAATGTCACATTAAGTCGTATCTATAATAAAACATTTAATGTTACATCTATTCGTATCTACAATATAACATTAAATGTTGCATCTAATCGTATCTATAATAAAACATTAAATGTCACATCTAGTCGTATCTATAATACAACATTTAATGTCATATCAAGTCGTATCTATAATATAACATTTAATGTCACATCTAGTCGTATCTACATATAACACTTTATGTCACATATAGTCGTATCTATAATATAACATTTAATGTCACATCTAGTCGTATCTATAATAAAACATTTAATGTCACATTTAGTTGTATTTATAATATAACATTAAATGTCACATCTAGTCGTATCTATAATATTACATTTAATGTCACATCAAATCGTATCTATAATATAACACTTCATGTCACATCTAGTCGTATCTATTATATAACATTTAATGTCACATCAAGTCGTATCTATAATATAACACTTCATGTCACATATAGTCGTATCTATCAATATTTAAACATTTAATGTCACATCAAGTCGTATCTATAATATAACACCTCATGTCACAAATAGTCGTATCTATTATTTAACATTTAATGTCACATCAAGTCGTATCTGTAATATAACACTTTATGTCACATCTAGTCGTATCTGTAATATAACAATTTATGTCACATATAGTCGTTCCGTAATATAACATTTAATGTCACATCTAGTCGAATCAGTATTTAATGTCACATCAAATCGTTTCTGTAATATAACATTAATGTCACATCAAGTCGTATCTTTAATATAACACTTCATGTCACATCTAGTCGTATCTATAATATAACACTTCATGACACATCTAGTCGTATCTATAATATAACACTTCATGTCACATCTAGTCGTTTCTATAATATAACACTTCATGTCACATATAGTCGTATCTATAATATAACACTTCATGACACATCTAGTCGTATCTATAATATAACACTTCATGTCACATCTAGTCGTATCTATAATATAACACTTCATGTCACATCTAGTCGTTTCTGTAATATAACATTTAATGTCACATCTAGTCGTATCTGTAATATAACACTTTATGTCACATCTAGTCGTATCTGTAATATAACACTTTATTTCACATCTAGTCGTATCTATAATATAACATTTAATGTCACATCTAGTCGTATCTACAATATGACATTTCGTGTCACATCTAGTCGTATCTATAATATAACATTTAATGTCACATCTAGTCGTATCTATAATATAACATTTAATGTCACATCTAGTCGTATCAGTAATATAACATTTAATGTCACATCAAGTCGTTTCTGTAATATAACATTAATGTCACATCAAATCGTATCTGTAATATAACACTTTATGTCACATAAAGTCGTATCTGTAATATAACACTTTATGTCACATATATTCGTATGTATAATATAACACTTCATGTCACATCTAGTCGTATCTATAATATAACACTTCATTTCACATCTAGTCGTATCTGTTATCTAACACTTCATGTCACATCTAGTCGTTTCTGTAATATAACATTTAATGTCACATCAAGTCGTTTCTGTAATATAACACTTTATGTCACATCAAGTCCTATCTGTAATATAACACATTATGTCACATATAGTCGTATCTGTAATATAACACTTCATGTCACATATAGTCGTATCTGTAATATAACATTTAATGTCACATCTAGTCGTATCTATAATATAACACTTCATGTCACATCTAGTCGTATCTATAATATAACACTTCATGTCACATCTAGTCGTATCTATAATATAACACTTCATGTCACATCTAGTCGTATCTATAATATAACACTTCATGTCACATCTAGTCGTATCTATAATATAACACTTCATGTAACATCTAGTCGTATCTATAATATAACATTTAATGTCACATCAAGTCGTATCTATAATATAACACTTCATGTCACATATAGTCGTATAATCTATAATTAAACATTCAATGTCACAGTTATGTAACAGTTAATTTTGATATTCATTAAGCGTTGAGTGCATCAAAAATTCATCCAAGTTTTAAAGTTTTAGAAAGCCACTAACCATATCTCTTAAATATACACATATATATACCCCAATAAAAGATTATTATGTTGATCTTTGTAATATCAAAAATACTTTTCCAAGGCAATACAGGACGACATTTAAAGATTTAACAAAAATGTCTTACATAAATAAGCATTAAAGACTTTACTTATTGTATTTCTGAATATTTTCTTGACAAAACTTATTTGTAAATCTTGCATACTAGTATCAATCAGACAGTTGTAGTGTACGAATTTAAACTGTGATCTAAAAACCGGATTCAAATATTAACAGTACGTATTTCTTTTCTGTTTAATTAATTTTACCCATTACTGATTTCTTTTTCATTTACTTTCCCAGTTACGAAACCTGAAGAATTAATCGTGTCTGTTGATTAAGAGAGTATAAATATATATATACATGGAACACAGAACAAACTATTTTCTGAATCTGTGACCACTGAATATGCAGGGTGAAAATCTAAGTCATACATAAATGAAACGGAATTGTTATAATACCTTGATATACATACGTAATAATACAAATTACTTAAGATAAAAGATACTTTTCTTTACAAGAAATTCAATAGTAAGATATTTATAACCTGATTGAGTAATGAAACGCCTTCTACCAAACAATGCTTGACTCTGATATTGTTGACTTTTTTCAGCACATTCCTTAAATAAAAGAGATCTATAATTCATTGATTCCAGACAAAAAACTGATTTCTTAAATGTTGTCTGTCAGATAATGTATCGAATGGCGAGCAAAATTAAATTAAATTTCTAACCTAAATTTGAAGAAGAGGAGACTAGCAAATTGCATAGCAATCATTTTAGCATTCTATTTGAGTGAACTCTGAATATCATTTCGCTTTTAAGGCAAACATAAATACATGGTCAGACACATTTAAACAATATAATTGTTAATTTTACCGATGATCTGTACAATTAGACAATTTATATCACAGTGATTAACTAATATATGATCGGACACTTTTAGTCAATTTAAGTCAGTGATAAAGATATAGACGGTCGGGCACATTTAGACAATAATTTTGTTAATCTTAACGATGACCGGAACATTTAGACATTTAAATCAAGGTGATAAACTTACAGATGGGCGGACATATTCAGACAATAAAATTGTTACACTAACTGATGGTTGGCACATTTAGACAATCTTTCAGATACATAAACACATTAAGACAATAAGTTGATTTACTTACAACTTATCTGACACATTTAAACAATAAGTTGATTTACTTACAGATGGTCGGACACATTCAGACAATCAGTTGATTTACTTACAGCTAGTTGGATACATTCAGACAATAAGTTGATTTACTTATATATGGTCGGACACATTCAGACAATCAGTTGATTTACTTACAGCTAGTTGGATACATTCAGACAATAAGTTGATTTACTTATATATGGTCGGACACATTCAGACAATCAGTTGATTTACTTACAGCTGGTTGGATACATTCAGACAATAAGTTGATTTACTTATACATGGTCGGACACATACAGACAATAAGTTGATTTACTTACAGCTGGTTGGATACATTCAGACAATAAGTTGATTTACTTATATATGGTTGGACACATTCAGACAATAAGTTGATTTACTTACAGATGGTTGGACACATTCAGACAATAAGTTGATTTACTTACAGATGGTTGGACACATTCAGACAATAAGTTGATTTACTTACAGATGGTCGGACACATTCAGACAATAAGTTGATTTACTTACAGATGGTTGGACACATTCAGACAATAAGTTGCTTTACTTACAGATGGTCGGACACATTCAGACAATAAGTTGATTTACTTACAGATGGTCGGACACATTCAGACAATAAGTTGATTTACTTACAACTGGTTGGATTCATTCAGACAATAAGTTGATTTACTTATATATGGTCGGACACATTCAGACAATAAGTTGATGTACTTACAGCTGGTTGGATACATTCATACAACAAGTTGATTTACTTATACATGGTCGGACACATTCAGACAATAAGTTGATTTACTTACAGATGGTCGGACACATTCAGACAATAAGTTGATTTACTTATATATGGTTGGACACATTCACACAATAAGTTGGTTTACTTACAGATTGTTGGACACATTCAGACAATAAGTTGACTTACTTACAGCTGGACGGACACATTCAGATAATAAGTTGATTTACTTACAGATGGTCAGACATATTCAGACAATAAGTTGATTTACTTACAGTTGGTTGGACACATTCAGACAATAAGTTGCTTTACTTACAGATGGTCGGACACATTCAGACAATATGTTGCTTCACTTACATATGGTCGGACATATTCAGACAATAAGTTGATTTACTAAGAGATGGTCGGACACATTCAGACAATATGTTGCTTCACTTACAGATGGTCGGACACATTCAGACAATAAGTTAATTTACTTACAAATGGTTGGACACATTCAGACAATAAGTTGATTTAGCTTACAGATGGTTGGACACATTCAGGGACAATAGGTTTAATTTACTTACAAATGGTTGGACACATTCAGACAATATTGATTAACATACAGATGGTTGGACACATTCAGACAATAAGTTGATTTACTTACAGATGGTCGGACACATTCAGACAATATGTTGCTTCACTTACAGATGGTCGGACACATTCAGACAATACAAAGTTGACACATTCAGACAAATAAGTTGATTTTACTTACAGATGGTTGGACACATTCAGACAATAGGTTTATTTACTTACAAATGGTTGGACACATTCAAAAAATAAGTTGATTTACTTACAAATGGTTGGACACATTCAGACAATAAGTTGATTTACCTTACAGATGGTTGGACACATTCAGACAATAAGTTGATTTACTTACAAATGGTTGGACACATTCAGACAATAAGTTGATTTACTTACAAATGGTTGGACACATTCAGACAATAAGTTGATTTACTTACAAATGGTTGGACACATTCAGACAATAAGTTGATTTACTTACAGATGGTTGGACACATTCAGACAATAAGTTGATTTACTTTACAAATGGTTGGACACATTCAGACAATAAGTTGATTTACTTACAGATGGTTAGGACACATTCAGACAATAAGTTGATTTACTTACAAATGGTCGGACACATTCAGACAATAAGTTGCTTTACTTACAGATGGTCGGACACATTCAGACAATAAGTTGATTTACTTACAGTTGGTTGTACACATTCAGACAATAAATTGATTTACTTAAGAGATGGTTGGACACATTCAGACAATAAGTTGATTTACTTACAGATGGTCGGACACATTCAGACAATAAGTTGCTTTACTTACAGATGGTTGGACACATTCAGACAATAAGTTGCTTTTACTTACAGATGGTCGGACACATTCAGACAATAAGTTGCTTTACATACAAATGGTTGGACACATTCAGACAATAAGTTGATTTACTTACAGATGGTCGGACACATTCAGACAATAAGTTGCTTTACTTAGAAATGAATGGACACATTCAGACAATATGTTGACTTGCCTACAGATGGTCGGACACATTCAGACAATAAGTTGTTTTACTTACAAATGGTTGGACACATTCAGACAATAAGTTGATTTACTTACAGATGGTCGGACACATTCAAACAATAAGTTGCTTTACATTTACAGACTTGGTTGGACACATTCAGACAATAAGTTGATTTACTTACAGATGGTTGGACACATTCAGACAATAAGTTGCTTTACTTACAGATGGTTGGACACATTCAGACAATAAGTTGCTTTACTTATAGATGGTCGGACACATTCAGACAATAAGTTGCTTTACTTACAAATGGTTGGACACATTCAGACAATAAGTTTCTTTTCTTACTGATGGTCGGACAAATTAAACAATAAGTTGATTTACTTACAGATGGTCGGACACATTCAGACAATAAGTTGATTTACTTACTGATGGTTGGACACATTCAGACAATAAAGTTGATTTACTTACAGATGTTCGGAAACATTCAGACAATATGTTGATTTACTTACAGATGGTCGGACAAATTCAAACAATAACGTAAATTTACTTACAAATGGTCGGATACATTCAGACAATATGTTGATTTACTAACAGATGGTCGGACAAATTCAAACAATAACGTAAATTTACTTACAAATGGTCGGATACATTTAGAAATAAGTTGCTTTACATACAGATGGTCGGACACATTCAGACAATAAGTTTGTTTACTAACAGATGGTCGGACACATTCAGACAACAACTTGATTTACTTACATATGGTTGGACACATTCATACAATAAGTTGCTTTCCTTACAGATGGCTGGACACATTCAGACAATAAGTTGCTTTACTTACAGATGGTCGGACACATTCAGACAATAAGTTGATTTACTTACAGATGGTAGGACACATTCAGACAACAACTTGATTTACTTACATATGGTTGGACACATTCATACAATAAGTTGCTTTCCTTACAGATGGCCGGACACATTCAGACAATAAGTTGCTTTACTTACAGATGGTCGGACATATTCAGACAAAAAGTTGATTTACTTACAGATGGTCGGACACATTCAGACAATAAGTTGATTTACTTACAGATGGTCGGACACATTCAGACAATAAGTTGATTTACTTACAGATGGTCGGACACATTCAGACAATATGTTGATTTTCTTACAGATGGTCGGACAAATTCAAACAATAACGTATCTTTTCTTACAAATGGTTGGACACATTCAGACAATAAGTTGCTTTATTTACAGATGGTCGGACACATTCAGACAATAATGTTGATTTACTAACAGATGGTCGGACACATTCAGACAATAAGTTGCTTTACTTACAGATGGTTGGACACATTCAGACAATAAGTTGATTTACTTACAGATGGTCGGACACATTCAGACAATATGTTGATTTACTTACAGATGGTCGGACAAATTCAAACAATAACGTAACTTTTCTTACAAATGGTTGGACACATTCAGACAATAATTTGCTTTAATCACAGATGGTCGGACACATTCAGACAATAATGTTAATTTACTTACATATGGTCGGACACATTCAGACAATAACGTTAATTTACTTACAGACGGTTGGACACATTCAGACAATACGTTGCTTTTCTTACAGATGGTCGGACACAGTCAGACAATAAGTTGATTTACTTACAGATTGTTGGACACATTCAGACAATATGTTGATTTACTTACAGTTGGTCGGACACATTCAGACAATAAGTTGATTTACTTACAGATGGTCGGACACATTCAGACAATATCTTGATTTTCTTACAGATGGTCGGACAAATTCAAACAATAACGTAAATTTACTTAAAGATGGTCGGACACAGTCAGACAATATGTTGATTTACTTACAGATGGTCGGACACATTCAGACAATAAGTTGATTTACTTACAGATGGTTGGATACATTCAGACAATAAGTTGATTTACTTACAAATGGTTAAACACATTCAGACAATCAGTTGATTTACTTACAGATGGTTGGACACATTCAGACAATATCTTGATTTTCTTACAGATGGTTGGACACATTCAGACAATTTGTTAATTAACTTACAGATGGTCGGACAAATTCAAACAATAACGTAAATTTACTTACAGATGGTCGGACACATTCAGACAATAAATTGATTTACTTACAGATGGTTGGACACATTCAGACAATCAGTTGATTTACTTACAGATGGTTGGACACATTCAGACAATATGTTGCTTTACTTACAGATGGTCGGACACATTTAGACAATAAGTTGATTTACTTACAGATGGTTGGACACATTCAGACAATCAGTTGATTTACTTACAGATGGTTGGACACATTCAGACAATATGTTGCTTTACTTACAGATGGTTGGACACATTCAGACAATAAGTTGACTTACTTACAGATGGTAGGACACATTCAGACAATAAGTTGATTTACTTACAGATGGTCGGACACATTCAGACAATACGTTGCTTTACTAACAGATGGTTGGACACATTCAGACAATAAGTTGACTAACTTACAGATGGTCGGACACATTCAGACAATAAGTTGATTTAATTACAGATGGTTGGACACATTCAGACAATAAGTTGACTTACTTACAGATGGTTGGACACATTCAGACAATAAGTTGATTTACTTACAGATGGTTGAACACATTCAGACAATAAGTTGATTTATTTACAGATGGTTGGACACATTCAGGCAATCAGTTGATTTACTTAGAGATGGTTGGACACATTCAGACAAAATTAAAGTTGATTTACTTTCAGATGGTTTGGCACATTTAGACAATGAAGTTGATTTACTTACAGATGGTTGTACACATTCAAACAATTATGTTGATTTACTTACAGATGTTGTACACATTCAAACAATAATGTTGATTTACTTACAGATGGTCTGGCACATTTAGATTGATACAGTATATCATGTCCAACTTGGCTTTCAAATCGTGACAGCAAACATAACTGTATAAAACAATTTAGTAATGTTATGACATATTCATATCTAAAGTTAAATGTTATTGTCACAATCATGTTTTGTGACAGGTATTAAGTTTATTTATATTCTAATAATTCTAATCCAAAATGATGTTGTTGACTTGCAAATGAAAATATGAACATATATTTTAAAAAGAACAGCGCGAGTCGGGTTTGTTGCCTTGTGACAATAAAGTTTAGGAGAAATAGCAAGGACAAAAATGAAATATGAAAATTAACAAAGGGCAATAGCTCAAAAGTAAGAAGGACATAGCAGCAGTTTCTGTGCACTGCACTTCTTATCAATAAGATATATCATCCTATGAAGTTTCAAGTATACAGCTTTTATAATTTATGAGAAATGGTCTGGACAATAATAAAGTATGAAAATTAATAACGGGTAATAACTCAAAAATAAGATGTGCAGAGTACTGTTCTTATACACTGCACTTATTCTTAATGAGATCTACCATCCTATGAAGTTTCAGGTCCATAGCTTTATACTTTAGGAGAAATGGCCTGGACAAAATTAAAGTATGAAAATTAACAAAGGGCAATAACTAAAAAAATAAGAAACGCAGAGTACAGATTCTTGTGCACTGCACTTTTTCTTAATGAGATCTATCTTCCTATGAAGTACTGTTTCAAGTCCATAGCTATTATACTTTAGGAGAAATGGCCTGGACAAAAATAAAGTATGAAAATTAACAAAGGGCAATAACTCCAAAATTAAAAAGTGCAGAGTACCGGTATTTGTGCACTGCACTTCGGTTATTATACGAAGCGTGCATACCAAGTTTGAAGTCAATCCGACTTATAATAACTGACTTATGCTCCGGACAAGCTTAAGGGGACGTCGACACTGACAACGACACCGACACCGCAGACAAAAGTAACCCCTATATGTCGCCTTTTTCAAGGCGACACAAAAATGTACCAAGAAAATGAACGACCTCCAACATTGAACAGTACGCGGCATCAATGACACTAACCGGACAATCACACAACAACAGCGACCATGAGCAAATACACTTGATACAAACACATGCACGCATAAATGTATGGTACATTTCAATTTTGTCATATTAAATGTTAACATAGGAAAGTTTATGCATATAATTGCTATGCGGTATAGTGTAAGTTCTTAGTACCAAGATAAATACATCCTTTGAGGCACATTGAAGCACATCAATAAACAACCAAGTATTCACAGACTGAGAAAAAAACCTGTCGCAGAAAAAGACTCAAAATAATACATATAATTGCATTTAAAGAATAGTTTGTACACAAAAGTGCTGCTATTGGTACTTTTATCATCTATGTAATTGATGTAAAAGTTTCAAATATTTGTATATTTTACCTCGTCTCTACTACATTCCTTGATGATATGACATGAGTCTGGAAACAACTGTTGGTCACACGAGTAGCATATTGGCCCTCTAACACCAGACGAGAACTGCGGTATTCCTAACATCACAATATTTCAATTCAATTTAATATTTAATCATTCATTTAAAGAAAACAGTCTACATCATGATTTTGAAGAAAGGTAACAAAAAATATACAACGCCAATCTTAAGCAACTCGTTAATTAACATGTAGTTTGATTTTGTCTATATATAATGCTTTCTTTGCCAGACTTTCCACGAAGATATAAATTATGTTATATGTACAAGACTATGTAAAATATGTAAAATGATGTTACATGCGCCAGGCTATCTATAATGATGAAATTGATGTTATATGTACAAGACTTTTCGCAAAAATAATAATCGTGTTATATGTACAAGACTATCTAAAGATTTGTTAAATGATGAAATATGTACCACACTATCTATAATGATGTAATTGATGTTATATGCACCAGACTTTTTACAAAGATGAAAATGATATAATATGTACCAGTCTATATACAATGATATATATGATGTTATGTGTACAAGACTATCTACAAATATGTAAAATAATGTTATATGTACAGGACTATCTAAAGATATGTAAAATAATGTTATATATACAAGACTATCTACAAAGATTTAAAATAATGTTATATGTACAGGACTATCTAAAGATATGTAAAATAATGTTATATGTACCAGACCATCTACAAATATGTAAAATAATGTTATATGTACAGGACTATCTAAAGATATGTAAAATAATGTTATATATACAAGACTATCTACAAAGATTTAAAATAATGTTATATGTACAGGACTATCTAAAGATATGTAAAATAATGTTATATATACAAGACTATCTACAAAGATGTAAAATAATGTACAGGACTATCTAAAGATATGTAAAATTATGTTTTATGTACCAGACTATTTACAATGATGTAAAATGATGTTATATGTACCAAATTTTCTACAAAGATATGTAAAATAATGTTATATGTACAGAACTTTCTAAAGATATGTAAAATAATGTTATATGTACCAAACTTTCTACAAAGATGTGTTAAATCATGTCATATGTACCAGACTATTTACAAAGATGCAAAAATATTTTATATGTACCAGACTATCTACAATGATATAAATATTGTTATATTTACCAGACTGTCCACAAAGAGCACTGTTACAGAATGTACCATTACAACATTCGGAACACGTCAGAAAATTATTTGCCGATCTACCAGCTACAATATTTGTACATTTCTGGAAATAATTGACAGTTATCAAACCGTTTTATATACCTAATGAAAAACATACTACAGAAAATAAATTATCATATGTGGCTTCATGTTTTTCTCTATTCATATGTGATCAATCTGTTGAGTCATTTATCATATCAATTATTTAAATTATTACCTTATATAAATGATACCTTATATAAATGTCATTTGGTATTTTTAACTGTTTTCTGAAATTCTAAAAACGTCCACGTTCGAGAACTATTGACCGGTCAATAATAGTTTTGACTGTTTCCCTCGAGTGCTCTGACGTCATGTAATGGAATCTCTTTGTAGCGTCATAAACCAGACGTGACGTGACCAAATTAAAAGATTGTTAAATTCGGAAACGTTTAATTATTAACGTATTTCAAAAACCATTTTCTTGTTCCTTTAGTAATTGATCAGGTAATAAATCAGTTATTTCATATGTGATTAGGGAACAGTCAACCAGTTGTCCCTTTATGTCGGGGTAAGTGTTTTGAACTGTTTCCCTCGGCCTACGGCCTTGGGCAACAGTTCAAAACACTATCCCCTCCACCTCGGGCCAACAGTTTGACTATTCCCAAACCACTTATGAAATAACTGTATATTATTACCTTATATAAATGATACCTTATATAAATGTCAGTTGGTCTTGTTAACTGTTTTCTGAAATTCTAAAAACGTCCACGTTCGAGAACTATTGATCGTTCAATAGTTTTGACTGTTTCCCTCGCGTGCTCTGACGTCATTTAGAGGATTCTCCTGACGTAATTTAGAGGATTCTCCTTGGAGCGTCATAAACCAGACGTGACGTGACAAAGTTAAAAGATTGTTTTATTCGGAAACGTTTAATTATTAACGTATTTCAAAAACCATTTTCTTGTTCCTTTAGTAATTGATCAGGTAATAAATCAGTTATTTCATATGTGATTAGGGAACAGTCAACCTGCGGCCTTGGGCAACAGTTCAAAACACTATCCCCTCCACCTCGGGCCAACAGTTTGACTATTCCCAAACCACATATGAAATAACTGTATACTGTAACCTTATTTAATAATATTTATAATTTCTTGAATGATTTAGTGCTTTTATTTGAGCAATTCTTATTAATAAGAAATATTCTAAATAACAAGAGAACATTTAATACATTGACGTCCTTGCATCCTAGATCATGCCTGATGGCGCCAGCTGTTGTCACATAAGCGCTTGAATAACAGACCTGAGAAAACATAATAATAGCATTGAACATTTAGGTAAAACTTTTTAAAATACAAAAAAAAAAGGTAAAAGTTGCATGCTTGGATTTATTATATCTGTACATAAGACGTAATTATAAACGACTAACACTTTCAGCAATATAAAGTAAACAGCTAATATATACTGCATTTAGCATAGCAGAATAAACAGATAAACGACTAACACCTCTACACCGGTTATATAAACGATTCATGCCTCTAGCACCGGCTATAGCACTAATAAACATATTGGAATGGGTGTTTAAAAAACAAGTACGATATAATGATAAAACATATTGATGCCATATTTGTTCATGGAATTTCATTAAGTACTAGATTTGTTAATTATCAAATTAAAAGTACATGTATTTGTTTCTGCCATATCTGTAGTTAAATATCTTAACTTATGAATATTTCAAATATATTTCTTATGTACTTTAACGATCAGTTATGTTAAGATTGAAATATAGACACATGCATAATATTTCATTTTTGTATTTTCTGATCGCAGATCAGATAATACATAGCTAACATCCACGGTCTAACACAAAATTTCCTAACAGTCCTAACAACGCAAATTAGTTCTCACTCAAAACTGCTTAAAAACCAGCAATTTAAAAGAAAGAACAATTTTTTGTTACAAGTGTTCAACAAATTACTACATTTTCAAACTTTTAAAGTAGCGTTGGCTTATAGAGTTGTCAAGAAACGCACACTCACAAATTACGCGGATGAATATGATTTTAATAAATGAAAATGCTATTTTTAGCGATGTCGATTACCGAATACTACACAAATAAATCTGACTGCCGAGTAGTTGAATATATTGTTTCTACATGTTGGACTGTTTTGGCGAGAAGATTTTTGCTAAATTATTTACTTCAATTTTAAACAACAGGTTTACCCTGAACAAAATACCTCGAAATTACCCTAACCCGATATGCAATGGAAATTCTAAATTTAGAATCACTTGATTTTATTCAGCTTTTGATTTTAAAACTTCTCCGTGGTGCAGGGGTAACGCGCTCATTTGGTGTGTGAGAGGTTTGGAGTTCAAATCCCAGTCGAGTCAACATTTTTCATTATTTTTTTTAGTGTCTTTGTTACGGAAATAGCCACGATATGCAAGGACAAAGTGTGGCTATCATAAAAAATTAACATAATTTTTTTTATGCAACTCTAGTTATGCAAAATTCCGTATGTATCAAACTCTGGTGCATGCAAGATGACTTATAGTACATAAAAATAAACTTATACAGGAAAAGACATACAGATATACAGTACGATTTAGATTGCAGGGATCAGAAAATACCACTGAGCTTGCAGCCCTTTGATTACATACTTCGTGGGGTCCGCATTTCTCTACATATTGACAGTCACGAGGCAAAGGTGAATCCTTGCAGGATAAACATGATAGTGTGCCACCTGTAAAAAATGAACAATATTAGGGCTCGAACCCATGATCCCAGGGAGTCTGCCTCTCAACCATGGTTACAGGAATTCGAGCCCTAATCGGGCACGACCATTTTTCTTCATATGACACCGGTACAAGTTGGTTCCAGGAAGCGGACTCGAAAGTGATTGTTTTAAGTTGCAAGAAATTGTTTCGCAATCGAGCTTAAATAAATATTTTAAAACCAAGAAAGCTGTTAAAATCAAATACACATTATCTTTCGAAAACAAATATTGTATATTATTCCGTTAGAAAGGCAAACATGAATTTTATAACTTTTAGATATAGAGGATATTGAATGAGTGTAAGTTCAGTACTGAATTTATTGCACGAGTTGAATAAAATTATATAATGCGAGCCTCTGGCGAGCATAATATTATATTATTCAACGAGTGCAATAAATTCAGTAATGAACTTACACGAATTTAACATTCTATTTATCAGATACCCAAAATAAAGACCGTTTATATAAGTGTCATTTTTCATTGACGCGCCTATGGTAAGTATAACGCTAACAGTTAGGGCTTCTTTACACGCTTATGACGTCACGTCAAAATATATGCACGGCCGTGCAATACCATTTTTACGGAGTCGCAAAATCGGCACGGGTGTGTGATAAAAAGGTTTTAGAGCATGTAATATGCTTGTTACTTAAAGAACGCGGCGCTTAATGAAATAATTTAACATAAAAGTAGTAAGTTGTAAAACAAGAAGTATCTTGACTTCTATACAAAGGTAGCATTCACGCGAATAACCAACTACGTCCCCTCCTTTATTATCTGTTTAAAAAAATGAATGATGTGTTCGAACATTTCTGGTGACAGTGGTTTAAATTACCAGCTGTTAAATAGTTAGGAAATACGAATAACCAACTACCAGCTAGTAGGTAGTTGGTTACTTTAAAATCCAACTACCGACTACCTACCAAATTGACGCTCAGCCTGTAATGTAGTGACTTTACTAATATGATATTGATTGATAGCAAGTAAACACAAACATAAAACATGTATAATACATTTTATTTTTGTAGACAGTTTGATCTTGAAATGAATCTCTTTCATCTTTGCTTTCCTTTTTTTAAAAAATCACCTTAATATATTTTCCCTTGTAAATATAAGCAATTCATTATTTACAAACGGAATAACATGGTATATAATTCTCAGTGCTTTTATATGATTAATAAAACTTACCTACAGCTGTAGTAACATATGCTAGAAACAAAAAATAAATTAAAGATTTTCTCATTCTTATATTCATTCCTTTATATTTTTAAGAAATTCTTCCTTTTTGTTATGATTTTCCTTTGAATTGAAGAGATTTGGATTATGATATTTTATAAAGAAGTAACTTCCCCCAAATTCAATGATTAAAGACGACTACAGAATTAAGAATGAATCAATTTGTACATGAAAGATCTAACTGGCATATGATTTTGTTATAGAATCTTATCAGATTGCACTATGGTCATCAGGGATCAATTAGAGGTCAACAAGCCAAACTAGCTGACACTTAAACAGACATTTTCATCATATTTAGAACATATCTTATTTTCGTAATTTTTATCATGATTATATGAACATTTTTCTTCCGAAATAATTGTAATAGATTCTAATACTATTTTACAATTTAAACACATTTTCATTAACATACATTTTCATCACGTTGCCTTTTTCAAATTTTATATAAAAATAAATATGTATAAAACGTTCGTAACACCACAATTATGTATATAGCTGATTATATTAAACATATCCTGTTAAAAACGAGGTTGGATCGCTTGTATATAATTTGTATAAGTTCTCCATACGTGCTTATAAAGCAATACATGTTCACAATGTTTTAATTTTGAAATTATTACGGAAGAAAAATGTTTATATAATCTTATTCATTGTCCATGTTAAAAAATTGCTGTTTTAACAGTTATTTCTTTTTTTTATTTGTTGATTTTATCCCAATATAGGTTGGTTATTTGCAAATAAGCAATTATTTTCATTTCGAATATGTACCATTTAACACTAGCATAATACGATCAGTTATAGTTTTATAAAACAATGAAAAATAAAATCAGGATCATTTGATGAAAAATAGCTGTTCAGGGCTACCTTCTTTTTCTGCAAGTTTGTAACGTCGCTTTTTATTGGATAATTATGACCTTTATATAATCTATAAACGCGGCTACTGTCAGTTCAAAAAGTTTTTTTACTAAGAAAGGAAGTTTGCTGTATTATTAATTCTTTTTAAACTGTCGATTCTTGACATCTTATAAGGCGGTCGTTTGCAATGTAGCCGGAAACCACCATACTGGAAACCACCATACCGGAAACCACCATACCGGAAACCACCTCGACTAAGGACTCGGGTTATTTGCAAACCAGCGTTTAAAGAGGGCCATATAACGTGTGAAAATCTTTATAGCTAATGACGTACTATTTCATTTTGTTGTACGTAAAATATAAATATCAGTGACAGAATTTATATGAAATCGTTACTAAAACCTTACATGACATTAAACAATGGTTGCTTTTATCTAAAATAATAGCAAAGTATAATACAGTTATTGTTTTGTTTTTTAGCCATGTGTTTGCTTTGCTTCGCTCTGTAAATAGGTTTGTTTGAATACATGGCTTTCATTTTATCTAGAAATAAAGGAATCTAAAACTTTAAAAAAATGATTTGTAAATATAAAGCATTGAAGTTTTTGTAAGTAGATTCTACTGACACATTAAAAGTCATCTGGCTTTGTCCTAAAATAATAAATAAATGTTCAGTTGAATGACAAACGATATAAAATATGACACTGAGTGTCACAATCTCAAATTATTTTTGTTCCAATGAAAACATTATTGATTGTACAGAATGAATTTTTCCGGAAATACGAAAGCCTGACCTTACACTTAGACTGAACAAACACAGTTTCAATTGACAAATACAAAGTTGGGTAACAATATATGAAATAAAATAAAATGTTTTTACCATAAATGGCAGTGATGTTATTTTTATAAGTGAAAGTAAGAAGCAATCAAATTTATGAATTAATATACTATAGTCTATTATTAGATAAATACAGATTTTAAATCTTAATATTTCAATTTCGTGTTGAAAATGTTTTTACGTTGTTTTAAAAACACTCGATCAGTTTTTGTTGTTTTGATATGTTTTATCTACAGCAATGTGAACTGTGTTTTAAAGACAACCTATTTCGTCACGGATGCAACATTAAACAATAAAATATGCACAGATTCGGAGAAGATATTTCAGTTGTCTGTGAGAAGTAAATTAATGTGTTCTAATATGTGTGAGAACAATCCAGAGTGCGCGACAATATTCTATGAACGAGATAAAAGCATATGTACAATTTGCAGGGGAAGGCGGAACGTGATAGAAAAGAGTGGCACTATTTGTTACTTCAAAAATAGTAAGAATTGAAACATATGAACATTTTGTATTGGTATCACTGAAATTTGTTACATGTGTTATAAAATCATTTTTAATTGTTAATTGGTTTGATAGTTGTCTCTGTGCAGATTCATCACACGATGATTGCTTCAGCATAGTCAAATTTAAAGTAATATTTTGCTTATTTTTCATAAGAAATATATTTCGAATGATTGACGGACCAATATTTGATAATAAGAAATGTTTAGAATAAAATATAAAGACTGCTTTACTGAAAATTATTTGTAGAAATTCCCGGGTAAATTATTATTGGGTTACTGAATATTCATTAAAAGTAAGATAGTAAATTGGAAACAAATATGGCAAAATATTAACATATTGAAGCTTTTACCTGTACATTATGGGCATAATGTCACTTTAACAATTAAGTTGGTTATTCAATGAAACTACAATAATATGACTGATACAGTTATGTTTTAAAACTATATTCTCAACATTTCTACATTTTGCAGTTTCATTGTTGACATTATTTGATCACTTTTAAAATAATAATAGAACATATTGGTGACGGCTTATAAAATTTGTCTTGTATCCACAAACAGTTAACTGTAATTCCCCGCTCGCTGTTGACGGAGGTACAATAACGTCCGTGGAAGGTTACACAGCGGGTGATCAAGCCTCGTACACGTGCTCGTCGTGCAGTCACTCCCCGGCTGGCGGTGTTGGTATAATTAGATGTCAAGCTGATGGCACGTGGACTACTCCAAAATGTTCTCCAGGTACCACACGTGAATTATCACACATTCTTTCTTCTTTTTGTTTTGGTCACTTATGTGGTGATATGTTTAGGCCATAATTTTTATCGAATTTTCAAATTTTTCGCCACGAAAATGCGAAAACACGAAGACCCGACAAAATCAAACTGTGTAAAACAAAATTACGACATGGCGTTAACCAGCTACCATATATATTCAATATAATCATAAAAAGTTAACTAATTTCAAATGAAAAAAAAAATGTAAATTAGTAATTGAATTGTAAATATTTTAACTTTTCTTGTAATCGCTAAACATTTTAATTGAGGTTGATTTTCCAGAAATTTTTGCTCATCTTTCTTGAGGCATGAAGCGATATTTTGTTTTGTGTCGAAATTTGAAATAACTTTACTCTCATTGATTTGCATTTAATACGTAGAATGTGTTCTCAACACGTCATTTCATAGTTTACAGTGCTTTATATTGTTCACGTATGACAAGAAACACATTTAAAACTAGAAATCTAAGTGAAATATTCTATAGCATTGTTTTAGATATAGTATTACAACGATTGCAGAACGATTATTCATTTCTAAACCTTTTTACTTTTCTTTCTTTTGATCAGCTATTGATGTTGGCTACCTACCAAGTAAGTATCGGATACAAAATATTTGTTAATACTTTTTCATAATTTTAAATGTGAAGTTTTATATTTACCTCGATTCTTTTTTTATCAAATTACAATCATATGATACCTCATAAAAAGACAAGCTAATAAGTATATATGTATATATGTACATTAAATTTAAACTTTCAAAGACAATTTCACGGCTGATGCCCGGGCAGTCTGACCAGGATCCATGCTGTTCACTATCAGTTTGTCTACTTGTAATACGGTTTGTAAACGAACAGCATGGACCCTGATCAGTTTGCGCGGATGCGCAGGCTGGTCTTGATCCATGCTGGTCGCAAACGCATTATGTTGGTTTTGTCATGACAAGGCTCATTAATAAACAACAAAAGTCATAAGATTCAGTAGGAATGCCAACTAAACATCATTATGTTGGTTTCACGGACAACACTAAAAGAATAGAAGAAACTAGATATGAATATGATGACTAATTTAAAATGTCATGTAGAAAATGCAGTGTATAAATAACGTGATCAGTAGAACGCAATTCTGCAGTTCTGTGGGGAAAAAAGGATACAAATGTGGTGTAAAATGCTTAGCAAAACAAGACGACAGGCGTATACCTAACTGTTGCAGCTCGAAAGGCAGGCATTTTTTCTTGCACAATAGCTTTTTTCATGGCTACCTTTTCATGTTGTCTCAGGTTACTGTACATTTAGGTTGTCATTGTCCGCCGTACAGTGACCTACTTTTGACTTAAAATTGGCTAATACTCTCTTGAAATTGCATGGAGGTAAATTATCACCACTTTGTGTTTAAAAATGTTACACTTTAAGGGCATGACTGGTGACATGTCCGGGGTCCGTACTTGACGGCGACAGCTGCTTTTTGTGTGGACCTTATGAAGCACATACTTCCTTACCGTAACGTACTGTATGTAACCTCATTGTTGAGATACCAAAAACTTAATCATTGAAGCAGAGGCGGGATACAGGGCTGACGTTTGGTGGGAATATTATATTTTGAGAATTGTTCCCCTACCATAGACAGAAGAATTAAAATTTAGGGTTGAAAATGGTGTTACATTTTTTATGGTTATTTAGCTTTTTAATGATTTAAACGCTATATTTATTGTTGGTTCATTTACAATCTACGTCACCGAGGTTTAAAGATTTTCAATGAATGTATCTATTTTCGATGTTAAATAAATTAAGTGTACAGAAGCTTCCTAACAAAACCACACTTAGGGAACTTGAGACAATTAGTTGCTTGAATTCTCCATTGATTGTATTATCTTTTTTTTAAACCAGTTAACTAAATGCAATTCGTTCAAGATTATCTTTTTTTACAACTTCAATTTGTTTTTACTTCGGCAGAAAAGTTTGCTGTAGTAAAATACATTGTGCTGCGTAAGGCACCCATTTGTATGGTGGCTGATTTGTGCCATTTATGTTTTCGCCTCGCGATACCGCAAAGGGAAAAGTCGAGAATTAACAAGTTAAAATGGCTTGGCGCATAGCGAAATTTTCGAGTCGCGGGACGAAAACGCGATTAACATTATTCCAGTCCAGCTCGAAAACGTATCGTTGGACCAACCTGGCCTGACTGAAGTCAAGACTCTGAAGTTTAAAATAGATTAAAGCAGTTGTGTTTCTGTATAATTTTCTGTAATTGTGAAATACAGTTATATACATGTATTTATGAACTTATGTTGCTTAATAATTTTGAACATATTTTTGCAATTTGCAGACGGACAACTTATACCACCAGGAGCGACAGGTAACTGTAAAAATACACCATACTCCACTTATTAATACAACAAGAATGTCGATCATTTTGGAGAGTAGAATTAAAATTCCGATTAAGATGAAGTAGAATATTGCTTACAAGCCGGTGCATGGGGGCGTGAACGGTAGCTTGTACTTTCAAGTACCGTCCATGTCAAATGAGTCTGCAACATTTTCAATGTTTACGGTTTTTTCCCTTGTGTGTGTGTGTTTTATTTGTTTGTTTTGTTTTGTGTTTATTTATCTATTTATTTATTTATTTATTCATTTATTTATTTATTTATTTATTTATTTGGGGGGATAGTCTCTAGGGGCTCCGTTTTTCTTTATTCTACCGTCACATCAATTTTGTTTGTGCCGTGTGGAGACTTTAAAAATTCGTCTTTCTGTTTTGTAAATATAACGAACCAGTTTATTGTATATATAGACAATTTCATACACTGACATCTAAAGACTGATAGGAGGTGAACTATTATTAGACGCCGTGTGCTCTTGCTTTTGTTTATTTTTATTTTTTCTTGTTTAAACAAAATCATTGTGTTTTCAAATTCTTTACTAAATGTAACTTTTCTCATGTACATCACCGAGCTTTAAGGAATTAAAAAAAACGTTTAACTGAAGTGATAGTGCCATGTTTGAATATCATATTCTTTTTATCATTATCTAATTTTATTTACCTAATAAATAACGTGTCAATTAGCCAGTCTATATTCTAATGACGAGAACCAAATTCGGACAGGGAACAAGGGGTATGACATAAATACGCAACGGAGATATTTTTGGCGCTACGGGCGCTTTTCACCGACAGGGCTTGTGTGCCTTACATGTTACGTATGTAACTAAAATGTATCCGTCAATACTACAACTTATAGACACAAGTATATACTGAGGTAATGAGGCTTTTTATATAGAGGTGCATTCTATTGTCTGAGAAATATGTAATGTAGAATCTATTACGATTATACCATTATCTTGTGTCTGGAAGCATATATTTATATTCATATGGAGAAAGGAATCAAAAAAAGTCTACACCGTATAAATAGATCGTTCATGACATGTTTTACTGCATGTATAGAATTTAGTTTATATGTATATAATGACTTATTTTTGTCACACCTTTTTTAACACTGCATTGTCAATGCATTTTACGTGGTATTATTTCAATACGTGTGTACTTATTTTGTTTTCAAGGTTGTATGTCTACAAAAGGTTCAAGATGTCTAGAATTTTCCATGTCACCTCATGTTATGGATGGACTTAGATCGGACGGTAGTTCTGGCGGCTGTTGGTGCGGGGCGTTATGTTGCAATTCTTACTGCTGTTACGATGTAAAATGTTGAACCATTTGATAAGATAATTACGACATTATTCAAATATTTATGATGAGCTTTTTCTGCAAACTCACAAAATATATCATATACGTTGCATATAACATAAATTAATGAATCGTATGAGACCAGGGCATTGACTTAACAATACAATTTTACATTTTCTTGGTTAAAAAAATAGAAAATGAAATGAGCATACGCAAGAATATCGAATGAATTCAGACAGTTTAGTTAGCATTTTTACATAGATAAATTTAGGTAAAGTATGTAACAGATATATTCTACAACCTGTTTATATGTCATTGTCCTAAAGAGGTACTATACTCATCTTCGAGTAAGATTTTTTAAATTACAGAAATTTATTGAATTATATGAAATTATTACTGAAAATGTCTAACTTTAATATAAAAACTTGATCTTATTTAAAAAATGCCAGTTTTTTATTGACACTATAATTATATTCATATTGTGATCACCTACAGTGTGTAAAATTTTAAACAGAAATTTAGACTCGGAATCATCCTCTTCATTGACTTGACAGTATGTTTGTTGAGCATTGTTTTCACTTCATTTCTACCTAGATGTATGTTCTTTTTAAATAGTATTTACAAAGAAACTTGTAGCAGTTATCAATACTTTTATATCAAATTTGAACATAGTACATGTATATCTTTAAAGTACAACAAGAAGTCATTGTGTTAGAGTACATGGCGTCAATTTTTAAAAGTACAACATAATATCATTTTGTAAAAGTACAACGTGATATTATTGTGTTAAAGTACAACATGATGTAAAAAAAATGTTTAGTATCTACTGATTTGTTTAGTAAACGAATGTTCATGTATTTATATTGAAACAAATATACATTTTATAGTACGCCTAAAAACAATACAGTGCAATACATTTGTAACAACGAGGTTATATACATTGTTGAGTAAAATACTAAAGTTAATTGGTTGAATATACAGCTGTTAAAGCTATATCGGACTCGGTGCTACATATTTTGCAGCAATGTAAGAGTACAGTACTAGTTATAAACAGTAAGGAACTCAACAATGTATAGACTCTTTGCTTCATACCACCATGAGAAAACAAATTAAATAAAGGAAAACCTTGAAACAATGATGTTTATGTATTATATTAAAGATACTGTTACATCAAGTACAACAGAGATTTGATCTGGATATTTTGGACATGTGGCAGGCTAAAATTAAATGGCCTCAGGTGGATCTTAGGGTAACTAGTAACCGACGCTGAAAAGCCTTTTACTCTATCTCAATTCATTGAGAAGTTGCAGCACTTTGAAATCAGATTTGATGGGGGAAAAAACAATGCAAAATAGTGATTTTTGGCAATTTTGAGACGTCCTCCGTTGCTATGGTAACAGGAAATTTACGATGGAGCATGCTGTTACAGAGGCTATGGTCTAGTCAAGTTTCATCAGTATTGAAACATTTTTCATAGTTTTGAAATTGTAATAGGAGGCTTTTCAATGAAAACAGCAATTTTTCACAATATAAATCTATGTTCAACATTGTCATAATCACATGTTGTTGTTGTTCGTGATGTGCATGTGCAAGTGACGTTTAACTGAATGCATTTAACACTGACGTTAACCGCTAGTGATAGTTGTTGAACCGTAAAACGCTTATGAATCTAATTAAGTGAACAGTATGAGTTTATTATGCAGACACCCAGTGTATATAAACGATTCAGAACAGCTATATTCCAAACAGAGGCGTATTTGGTACTGTGATTATCCATACAAACTTTGTAGTCATTTGAATATATTATAGTATATAAAACAAATATGTTTCACCATTATTCGTGTTTAAATTATAAATTATATTAAGACCGGTGTTTGTGGGGGGCGTGGATGGTAACTTACATTTTCCAGTACGGTCCATGAACAGATTCAATCAAACCGATACTGCAACATTTTCTATTTGAACGTGTTTTCCTGCGTTCTTTCGGGATTCTGTTGTCCTTTGTTTTAAAGTGCATATGACTAATATCTATGGAAATTGAATCACTCAACTATAATCAAACAGCTTAAACTTATTACAATCTAAATGCAGGGCATGACATACGATAATGTAGTTTAAATGTTACCTAACAATTTATCATGTACACATAATCATTATGATAAAGTTTCATATTATGTGGAGTATAGTGAAATTGAATACTTCAATACAGACTGAATACAGCGCGTCAACATGAAGAAAGTTTTTATTAACAGAATATATACGTGTCAAAAAATTTACTTTCTGTCGATTGTCATTCTGTTATGATAATAAAAGTTCGTTTATGTTATTTTTCTTAATGTGCCTTTCACATGTGAAGTATTTTAGTTGTTATTTTTCATGCTCTTTGTGGAATTATCGGTATAGACCATTGGCAAGGCAGAAAAATATCATTTTAGTAAAAAAACAAAGTAATTCTAATATTATCTTATCCGTTAACAAAAAAAACAGATATTTGTAAGCTTAGAAAATGTAAAATATTGTTATTTAAATCGTGTACGGAGGAATTTTATACGTAAATCGATCGGACCTTGGCTAAAAGGAAAACACTAGAAATGTCAGAAGTAAACATTCACAGTCTCCTTCTGAAAATATATGTGTCTATTACAAATATTTGTCATTCATTTATGTCTATATAACGATGTGCATGTATGATCAGTTCAAAAAAACAGTTTCCATAGGTACAGTATCACACTAACACTTGTTGTAAAATGAACTGAACTATATGGTGCATTTGATGTGATTTGTTCAGTATTACAACGTTGCAGAACGGGAGCTAATTCTTGCCAAAACGCTATCCGTGTGGCCGCTAGATGGTGCTTCACCGACTGTGACGTCATTTTAACTACGATATTAAGATACTTCTGCTCGTTAGTGTTGTATTGCGGCCATTCAAACGATGTAGCAGTTACAGGGGAACTAGGATCCCTGAAAAAAATCAAAGGATTTATAAAGACAATATTTGATATTTTAAGTAATTTCCTTAGACAAACTTAACACAAATACCAGGCATAATATTTTACTCCTTGCCTCTTTTTTCAATTGAATCGAAAATTGCAATATATTGGTATTGAAAAAAAACACATCCAGTTTAAAATATTGAACTGCTTGCTAACAATTTAAGACCTACCCGCTTTTAGCGAAGTTACTCCACAATGTCATCATTTGTGCTGACAGCTTGATGTCATCTTGAGTGACCTTGAAAGGGTCAACACCACCCAAGTCGTCAACAAGTTTACGCTCCAATGATTCGTGAAGTCCAAACACATAAGCCACTTCCATGGTATGTGTCGCACCTTCCAGCCAGTCTGGGTAGGGAACAAAGCTTGGCTTCTGGTCAAAAACATAAAAGAATGATGTCGATTTACGCCCTTTCATCACGATATCGCTATGTTTTTGGATTGAATTAATTGCTGGTAAAAAGAATTCAGAATCAGAGGCAAGATCCACCATATTTCTTCTTGTCGTCAAAGCATCATCTGGTCGTGTCCAGTCTGTGTATTGGTGTATTACTGATTCAGTTAACATTGGAGACGTTTTGCCAAACACCGTTGTTATTATTTCTGGCACTTTAACATTTTCAAAATAACTTCTAGGAACCCCTGTTTTTATGTCTATTTGCTTTTCTTTCAACTCTTCCTCCCATATAGGGACATTCACCGCTCCGTCACTGCCAGCTACACCTATGATGACATCAATTTCTGCAAAAAACTTCTGTGCAGACTTTCCTTCAAAAGAATCGTCAAAGAGAATGCTAGAAGGGTCTTTATGTAAAAAGTCTCTATCAACTGATGGAAGAAATGACCATGAATCAGTTTGTAACTGTTTAACAGATTTACTGCGGAGACAAACAATTATCTGATCGTAGTCGGATAAATCGCAATTTGTATCTTTGATGTAGCTGGCGAATACTTCGGTAGGATTCTTTTGAAACGCCCAGAAAGATAAAACAGTTCCACTCTGTGCAACTATTCTTTGAAATAAACCTTTGTTCTGAGGATAAATAGCTTGATACATAGCCGCTGCACCACCTGCAGAATTTCCGAAGAGTGTAACACGTGTAGGGTCCCCGCCAAATTCATTTATATGATCATGAACCCATTGAATAGCCATTCTCATATCCCATAATCCATAATTTCCTGAAGATTTGGTCCCATTGCTTAGAAATCCAAAAACATTTAGTCTATAGTTGATTGTAACAACGATGACATCATTAAATGCACTTAGAATATCTCCAGAATAAATATCAGCCCCTCCAATAGCAAAACTTCCTCCATAAATATACAACATAACCGCCAAGCTATTGTTCTTCGAAGTCGTATTACCTGGAACATATATGTTGAGATAAAGACAATCTTCGCTTTTGACCATGTCTTCCAGGTGTTTATAAAACGGCGGTATGACCTGTATACAATGTGGTCTATGGAATGTTGCGTTATAAACATCAGAAAATGTTCCAAATGGCTCCGGTCGTGCAAATCTTCGTTCTCCTACAGGAGGTTTAGCGTATGGAATACCAAGGTAACGTTGAACATGTTTGCTGTCTCCATCAAAAGTTACCGTATCTATATTTCCAATAAACGTTCCAATCCCAGTAGATAAAGTTATTTCCTGGTGCCACGAACTTAAAACTTCTATAACAAATAGATGTTGAAGAATACATAAGAAAAATATTTTATATAGAGACATTTTCCTTTTAATTTTCTTATTTTTCTAACACATGTAATAAAATTAATTTACCAAATTATTATGATATAAATACTGGGGGACTAGCACGTGATTAATCCACACATAAAACAGAAGTGTAGCAATCAAATATACACGTTTTCTACACTAAATGGCATGCGCGCTGAAGGATGAAATAACGCGCTTTGTAAACAACTGTTTATGTTGGTTACAAGAATGTTTATATAAGGTATTAAGTTTATATCCGGCAGGGTTGTCTTCAAGTTACTCGTATTCAATTTAATGTACAAATGTACAGATATTTATATTATCTACACTATCATTTACATTTTTTATATAATTTCCCAAGGAGAGTGTTACTTGATGATGGATGAATGTATAAATATGTATATATGTTTTTATAGGATATCGACGATACGTGTGCAAACATCGTATATTAGACCTCCAACTGCGTACTTTATAACCACATTTTTTGTATAACACCTTTACGTAATTTCACAAAGCATCAAATGAAAAGGTAAATCACATATAAAATGATGGAGTGGAAAGATCTTGTCATGCCAGGAATAATTCAGAAAATGCAAATTATTTACAAGATAACGAATAATAAATTGTACAATAAACATTTTAATTACATGCTTGATTAAATGTAGAAAATAACTAAGCCAAAAATAATTACGATTATAGCATGAACTTTTAATATAATATGATCCTTACAAATCTGCAGAGTCATCAATATTATCACAAAATACCATCAAATTAGTTAAATATTTGGAGAATTCCATTACATTACTCGGAGGCAAATAAAGAATATATTTTTTCTTCTAATATGCAAAATGGTATTTATATCTAGTAAGGTCAAGGTTGTACCTTTATTGCTCAGCATGAAAATTTCATTATAGTTATCATGATTAAATGCAATTAAAGTTTTAACTCAAGTTAGGCAATTAACAAAGTACATGTAAATTACTAAAGTAAACACTTTATAGTGTTCTTTATTGTTCTACAGCCTCGACATATCATGAATAGAAATTCTCTCCATAACCATAAGTTGCACATAGATGCATGAACCAAGAATCTTCTAAGAATTTATTTACAATCATTAAGGATCTAATAGAGAAAAGCTTGCAGAATATATTATACATAGACATATGAAAACTTATTCATATGAAAAATATGTGATAACCATGAGTTTAACATATGTTTGTTGACATATTTTTCATATGGTACTGTTTACATATGTTAATCTTACATATAAAAAACACATGTTCTTAAACACATATGTTTTTCAAAACACATGAAACACAGATGTTTTACATATGGATGACATTTGGGGTACCAAACATACAGCAAACATGTGGTGCATATTTAAATATGGTAAATATGCACCACATGTTTGCTGTATGTTTGGTACCCCAAATGTTATCCATATGTAAAACATCTGTGTTTCATGTGTTTTGAAAAACATATGTGTTTAAGAACATGTGTTTTTTATATGTAAGATTAACATATGTAAACAGTACCATATGAAAAATATGTCAACAAACATATGTTAAACTCATGGTTATCACATATTTTTCATATGAATAAGTTTTCATATGTCTATGTATAATATATTCTGCAAGCTTTTCTCTATTAGATCCTTAATGATTGTAAATAAATTCTTAGAAGATTCTTGGTTCATGCATCTATGTGCAACTTATGGTTATGGAGAGAATTTCTATTCATGATATGTCGAGGCTGTAGAACAATAAAGAACACTATAAACAGTATGACGCAACGAAATATTATGTAAACAGAAATGGAGATCTAAATCTATTGCGATAAAACCATTATTGGGCATTAAAACTTAGATTTTCTCATTTTTATTTTTTCACCTTCGGAATTTTTTTATACGCAATTGCGTATTGTGCGTAATGGGCGCTACGCCCTTGCAAATGATGTTTTTGTTTCATTATTTTTTTACATGTGGCCTATTCACAACACTTGCGTGACTTCAACTCATTCAATAATGTAAAATTATTTAATTATATATTCTAGGTTGTCCATGTATGCGTGCGTGCGAGCGTGTGTTCGAAAACCTTGTCCGGCCAATACCTCCCTAATGCATCAAAGGGTTTTATCTGTCAAATGCTTTTCCCTGGTGCAATTATAACACAGTTTGGTAAGCCTTGAATTGTAGCGCAAAACATAGCTGTAGAGAAGCATATAATTATGAAGCATGCTAAAAATATAACCTCAAAATATTATTGTTGCCGAGAAGAGTCAATTGAACAAAAATGGTCTCAGAACAATAGCCAACTGAGCCTAGGTACAGGGACACTACTTCAAGATGAATATTTAAATGCGTAGCTCCTATTAACTGACCCAAAGGGCAAACCATTTTTGGTCCTATGGACATGATTAATAGAGGATATTGAATGACTGCAAGTTCAATACTGAATTTATGCACGAGTTGAATAAAATTATATTATGCGAGCCTCTGGCGAGCATAATATTATTTATTCAACGAGTGCAATAAATTCAGTAATGAACTTACACGAATTTAATATTCTATTTATCACATACCAAAAATAAAGACCGTTTAAAGTGAAATAAGAGTCATTTTTCATTGACGCGCCTATAGTATAACGCTAACATTTAGCGCGTCTTTACACTATGTTTGTATAACGCTAATGACGTCACGTCAAATATATGCACGGCCGTGCAATACAATATTTACGGAGTCGCAAAATCGGCACGGGTGTGTGATAAATATAATTATTAAATGTAGAGAAAAACAAAGTAACGCTAAATGTCAAATACCAATGATGATCAAGATACATGTACATAGATTATAAGGAAAGTAAATTTTAAACAAATTTCTTAAAAAGTCAATTTAATATAACCGCCCTATGATGGTTTTCAAAACATTTCAAAATGCGACAAACGTAATGCATTGAATTGGTATGCGGCACGGGTAAACAAATAAAACAATAATTCACATCAGATGTCGTAAGTTTAAAGTCCTTTCAATAGTTTTTTTTTTCTTAAAATAAGCAGGCTAAAACAGCAACAATTATTCTTGAAAAAAAAAAACTTAACCAAACCATTAATTTCATGATTCTTCAATCTTAAAAACAATATTGTCTTTACGTGCATAAGGTCAGATAATATTGTCTTTACGTGCATAAGATCAGATAATATTGTCTTTACGTGCATAAGATCAGATATTTCCTTTTAATTCATGATCTTGCTACACTTTCAATATTTTTATCTAATATATACAGACAACAATAAGTATAAACTTCCGCAAATCTTAAGTATACTTTGATTTTACTTCCTCATTTATTGTCCTACGTGATTGTAATATCATATGTATTATATTATAAATTTGTGTGGGTTGGTGGCCGGACTATACAATGAAAACAATTAACGTTTAAATTTTAATGTTACTTCCGATATAAAGCTGTTTACGAAACACTTGAATAACTAAGAGAGTTATCGGACAATACTTCCTCCACTGATATTTTAAACTATGATGACGATTGTATAAATTTTAATTTTAGGAGAATAATTGTTCAAATAGTGCAAAACATGATATCTCGATGATGATGATGATGGCATGTTTTTGTTTATGCTGCTTCTGTTGCTGCTGATGATGATGATAGTGATGATGATGATTTTGTTTATGAAGATGATACTGATGCTGCTGCTGATGATGATATTGATTTAATGATTTGCTTGATGATGATGATGATGGTGATGGATGGTGGTGATGATGATGATTTTCCTGATGATGATGATGATGATGATGATCTTGATGATGATGATGATTTGTCTAATGATGATGATGATGATGATGATTTGTCTGATGATGATGATGATGATGATGATGATGTTCTTGATGATGATGCTTATTTCTCTGATGATGATGATGATGATGATGTCCTTGATGATGATGATGATGGTGGTGGTGATAATGATCATAATGATGATGACGATGATGTTCTTGATGATGATGATGATTTTTCTGATGATGATGATGATGATTTCTCTGATGATGATGATGATTTCTCTGATGATGATGATGATGATGATGATGATGATATGATGATGATGATGATGATGATGATGATGATGAAATGATGATGATGATGATGATTTTGATGTTCTTGATGATCATGATGATGATGGTGGTGATGATGATGATGATGGTGGTGGTTATAATGATGATGATGATAATAAGTGCATGAGTCTTTTATAAAGTTTCTTATATTCATTCCCTGCGGTCTGGAGACCGCAGGGTATTGGTACGCGTTTAACTTTTGAGGCATGGAGGAGCACGTGACCTGTTTTCGGTACATGGAGGAGCATGTGATCTGTAAACCGGACATGATTGGTTAATTGACCTGTTCGAAACCTAGCTAATAACCGTTTGCCGGTACGTTACGTATTAACCTGTAGGGAAATCCGAATTACACTAATTAAGAACAAAAACTATTACGTTGATACTTCTAATTTTTCTATAATTATTTTACCGTTTAAGGTTGAAAAACTTGAATGATGTGCTTGAAAATTATCAATGTTTCTTTAATATCTATTTCAAATTTTACAAACAATAAATTGTTTATACCAGAGACGTTAAAGTACATGTGTCGTATAACGGAGGAAGAACTCACGGATGTTACATACTTTTAATATACAAATACAAACACACAAGTGAACGAGTGGAATACCAAAGCTGAACTCCTGCTCTGACATTTGAGAATAGTATATATAATATCAACCTGTCCTAAGGACATTTATAATGTATAATAAATACACACGTTTTGAGTTACATATATTAATCATTTTGACATAAGATCAGTCCGTATGTAATCCTGAACCTATAATACTTCATAAATCATGTCATGTTCCATAGTGCACATTATGAAAAAAAACCTTAATATATGTATATAGCATGTTTGACTTGTCTATGTTCTTTTGAATATAGCGTGTTATGACTCATTAGCCGTGCAACCAGCTATTACGACAATTCCTCCTTTTATCTTATATAAAAAAATTAAAAAAAATGTATTAAACAAGGTATTAAATATCAAATATTTCAAACTCGTTCTAACAAATTAAAAAAAAATCTAAAAATCAACTTGACATCTGTTTTACCCCCTAAGGTAAGGATGTTATACATCAACCTTGGTCACTTTATTTAAAAAAGAAAAATTCATTTTAATAGAGAAATTTGGATAGATACAATGTAGCAAGGTA